ACACTGATATTTGTATACTTACTACAAAGTATACTTAAAAATATACTTGAACTTTACTTAAGTATACTTAATAAAATAAACTTGAAGTATGCTACTTTTTGGGAAGGGATGACAAAAAAGTTGGTTATTCTATTTTCTTTACAATATTTAAACAGACACGAATAGTATGTTTTAGGCAGGACGTCCTTGGAAATAATAAATTTTGGGCATTACAAAGTTTGAAAACCTCTGTTTTATTAGAACAGTCTGTTTTCATATCAGAAAGTCTGAACTCGCCATTTAAACTCACCAGAGCACTGAGATTAAGCTGTAGAGAAGAACAGACAAATGATTTCCACATTAATGAAGGTTATCTAGGCAGAAATGGGTGAAAAGACTCTCTCCAATTCTCCTTTAACCCCGCTTTTCACACTAATGCCTAAAGTTAGTCATTTGTTTTGTCTAGTGATTTATTAGCCTAGCCTACCAAGGACATAAGAATGTCAACGAAGAGCTCTAAATGAAACCACGGGTTGTAAACAATGAAAAGACCTGTCCAATTTGCTAAATCTTTACAGGCTAATTATTTAAAATCAATGCTGCATACCCAGATGAGCTAACAAAAATATGTTCTATAACATGTTATAATATGTTAAATAACAAAAGAATGTTTTGCTATCTCTCCCACGAAAACTATGAAAACGGTGTTTCTGAATGAGCATTCCAAAAGTCCATTCTTTTAATGTTAAAAAAATGAGAACGTTAGCTATATCTGAACATTCCATTTTATAATTCGGCAGACATTATGGGAATGTTACTTTGGATGTTTCCTGAAACAAATAACAGCATTAAAAAAAAAACGGTAGATGAACATCCAACTAAAACGTTTAATAAACGACGTTTTTGTGCCAACATTTTGAGAATATTAGAAGCTTAAAGCCAACGTTCTATTAAAAAACGTTTGTTCGTAACTTTGAGAGCCAGTTAGTTCTGAGCAGTGTTGTGGGTAACGAATTACAAGTAACGCGAGTTACGTAATCAGATTACTTTTTTCAAGTAACTAGTAAAGTAACGCATTACTTTTTTAATTTACAAGAAAATATCGGAGTTACTTTTTCAAAAAAGTAACGCCAGTTACTTTGTTTTCCCATGTATTGCCTGACAGCTCTGCTGTCCCCATATTGTGAGAAATCGAGAGGCGATGTGTGCGCTGTGTGAACATGATGTAGTTCTAGACTAAATGTGAATGTGCATCATCCCACTCACAAAAAAACAATGAATGAATTAAAACAGTGAAATGCAAACTCAGAATATGACGCAAACCTGCAATAATTAAATATGTTAAATAACACAACTGTATCTAATCCCATTGTCTTCGCTGCTGACCTTTGGTGATCCAGTTCAAGCGTACCAATGACTTTAGAGAAACTAACAATTGTGCTTTGTTTGTTTATTGCTGAAGAGTTTCTTCTCCTGCGTTCTACTGTACATTCGTGGATTTGCTTGTGCTTCAGCCTGAGCTTTATTCATTACACTTTTTGGTGTGAAAGGGCTTTTACATGTGCTAGAAATAGAACTTCTTATATTAAAAACAATCAAGCCCTGCTGATACTTAAAAAGTAACGTGAAAGTAACGCAAAAGTAATGTAACGTAAAAATAATGTAACTAAGTACCGTAATTAGTTACTTTTTTTAGGGAGTAACGCAATATTGTAATGCATTACTTTTAAAAGTAACTTTCCCCAACACTGGTTCTGGGAACGTTCATTGTTAGCTGGGTAATGCAGTAAATCTGATTTAATACAATGCATTTTTGATATGTTTCATATGTATAGTAGGCTATTCTTTTGAATCACGATGTTACAGTAATGCACTGTGTTTGTGTCGTTATCGGTGTTGAGGGTGTGACGGTGGACTGCCTCCCGCCCCTCCGCGCTCTTACGCCGCATTCTTCCGAAGCTCCGCCCGCCGCTGACCGCTCTTCAGTCCGTGCCAAAGTTCCGCGAGTAACGCAGCAGCAAGCGGCGGAGAATGGCGAAGATCTGCGGCATTATACTGTTCGTAGCGCTGATTCTGGCGGTGAGCGAAAACACTGAGAAGTTTCCACTGTTCATATCGACTTGTATATAATCTTAAATCTTTTGTCTGCGTCTTCAACGTTTCGTTGCTTTCATATGATTTTTTTCTAAACCCTCTCTGAACACTTCTTCATCAATGCGTGTATAAACGATGATAATTCTGTATGCTTTACGAGTGTAAACTGCTGTTTTCTGTTCATCTTCACAGCTAGGCTTGAGTGTGGGTGTGTTTTTCTGGTGCTCATTCTCTCACTGATGTGTGATAGTCAGCCAGGGGTTTATGAACTCTGGCAAGATACAGGCGAGATGTCTCTTTAACATTTTTCATATGGATAGATATTATTGGTTAAATTAATGCATTAGCAGTTTGCCAGAGGAAGGGTGGGAATTATTACAGAGGAAGTCGAAACAAAAGGTTGGCGGCCTTAAAAGTCATTATTTTCATATGTTGGTGATTCTTCAACGTTAGGCATTTATCAGGGAATTATTTTGATTAAAACTAACACAAACTTGATTAACACTATTATGCTTTTTGCTATTCTTGGTAGTACTTTGAAATCAGCTTTCCCCACAGCCATGGCTTTATTTTCACCATCGCAACAATGTAGCCACTAAAGAAGTGTTTTATTTTTTAATAAGTATACTTGTAACAGTATCATTTGAGAGCATGCGAGATGAAACTGGATTTATGGAGGAAAGTCATGGTTATTATGGTCTTGTGTGCAGAATATTTTTATTTTGCATCGTGCAATCAAGCTGTAAATTAGTCATATTGCATGAATGTTATATAACCTGTTTTACTGCTCTCCAGTTTTAGTTTATCACATTATTTAGTTGGAATGGACACATGTGCTTTTGTGTTTGTTGTAGATACTGAACACTTCAGCGTCTGAAGGACAACAGAAGAAAATCAGACAGAAGAGAGAGTGGATTATCCCACCACACAAACTGAGGGAAAATTTCGATTATACGTATCGGGAATACATAGCCAAAGTAAGATCTTTGTTTTGTTTTGTTTTCTGTTAAGCACTTTTTCCGATGTTCTGCGATGGATCATCATTGACTAGTATGAATAAACTCTAGTTACGTAACATTGCATGGTAAAAAAAAAGTTTAACATGCTACTTTTCAACTGTATTAAATGCATTTGTTTGCAGATCCGTTCAGATGAGGAGACCAGGACGAGTATACGATATTCACTGACTGGATCTGGTGCTGACCAGCCACCCATTAACTTGTTCACTGTTAATAGAGAGACTGGCTTGGTCAAGATCCACGGAGTGTTAGACAGAGAGAAAACTCCCGTTTATTATGTGAGCAGCTCTTTCATCTTTTACACACGATTATAAACATTTATTGCATGGGTGTCTGTCCCACCCTGACTAACCTATAAAAGTATACTGATGAGTCGGTAAGAACTCGAGATAGCATCTAGCAGCAACTTTTCACAGGAGAGCTGGATTTGGGATTGTCATGAAGTGATGAATGTCATACATTCTGCCTGAATGACTCGATTACTATGAGGTGCAGCTCGCACTAAAACCCCAGAAACTTGTGTTTTCTTAGCCATAGCACATGCTTACATAGAGGCAGTGTCATTGAGTTGGTGTGCGTGTGTTTGTTTTTTACAGAGAAATCATGATTCATTAATAACTTCGAAATTACATTTTCTCAAAATTTTGAATCTTATTTAATTTAGAAATTTAGAAACATGGCATGTGTTAAAGGAATAGTTCACCCAAAAATGAAAATATGGGCCATCCTGGATGTAGATGAGTTTGTTTCTTCATCAGATTTGGAGAAATGCATCATCACTTGCTCTTCAATGGCAGTGAATGGGTGCCGTCAGAATGAGAGTCCAAACAGCTGATTAAAACATCACAATAATCCACTCCAGCTGCAAACGAACAGCGCACATCTGAAGTGTCTCTGAAGGAAATAATGCATTATTTATCGGCTTTAAGATATCGGCAACATTTTCTTATCGGGTCGATACCGATAACAGAAAAAATGAGCATTTATCGTGCATCCCTAGTTAAAAGCTTAACGCAGTAAAGAGAAGAGAAATAAGAATATGAAGTTATAGAACCATTTGCATATTCAGCAGATCGATTATGTATAAATCAATTTCATAAAATTGACTCTTATGACTGGTTTTGTTGTCCAGGGTCACAAATGTATTAAACAACAAGAGAAACTGAGCGCCCATATAGCTACAATAAACTTCATAACCTGCGGACTGATGAAAACGTAATGCGATTAATTAACTGCTAAAAGGTTTGGAAACACTGGCCTATAACATGCTCTCACAAGTTTATTATTTATCACAAATGTCTAACACATTATATAAAAAATAAAAAATCAATAACATGAAGATCCTCTTTTTTTAAAGATTTTATTTTGGCGTTTTATGCCTTAATTTAGGACAGGAAGCGAAGTGGGAGAGAGAAGGGGAGGGGATTGGGACTCAAACTCGGGAAACCACGAAATGCAATGTCGTCGCGCTGCCGTGTCTCTTTCAGGGGAAACCATACCCAAAAATGCATACCAGGTGTATATAATTTTTTCTTCTGTGGAACACAAACAGAGCCAGAGTTGATGAATCACTGGCTGTTTCTCTATATATGCTGCAAGCAAATACGTAATGGCTTGCGAAAGTAAACATTTGTTTTGCATAATTTTATTAAATTGAATAAAGACCTGGAGAAAGTCTGCAATAGTTGTACTGACATATTAAAAATTAATCTTAACATTGACAAAGCATAGGTCCCTAGTGAAAAATAAATACTTAAATGTATTTGAAAAAATATATATTTCATGCTAAGTATACTACAAATACATTTTCATATTTATGTACCTAATAAAAATACCCTTCAATTGTACTTTTAGTAAACTAAACTGGTATACTTAAAATCTGCTAATTTGGAAAAACTAATTTTGTACTTTAATTGTGCAGAAGTAGTGCTGAAGACCAATTAAAGATATACTTCGTATATTTGATTGTGCTAAAGTATACTTCAGGTACACTTTAAATATTTAGCATTTAAAGACCGGTATTATTCAAAGATCATGCAATCCTCATCAAAAGTTTCATGATGATATGAAATATTAATATGTTATAATAGGTTATGACATTTGTTTGTGATGTTATGTTGTATTTATTGTACATTGGCTGCTACTATACTCGCACTTTCAGTTGAGCAAGATCACAGCGCATTTCAATTCTCACAAAGATGCTTTCTGTGTCCTTGTGTCCTTCCGAGTTCGTTCGTTCAAGGTAAGCCTGTTAAGACCAGTCCCCACGAGAAAGTGAGTCCGTTCTTTACATTGTTAGAATTGAGAAACAGCCCTGATCTTTTAAAGTGAAACTAGGTGTGAGTGAGAAAAATACTAATACATGTCACCAATGTTTCCTGTAACTGATTGTGTAAGACTTGCACAATACCGAGTATGAGTTTTGGACCATTCCTTAACTAACAAGAAATGATGATTAACAATTAGTAAGTATTAGCACTCAGTTGAATGTGGTAGTTTACTATGAGCCAATACTACTATTTTATAATTAATCCCGGAGACCATCTAAGAAACTAGAGAGTTTCATAATTAATGTTTCTGTTTGTTTCTTTATAAAGCACAAGTAAAACAATGTGAAGTTCATCAATGTGCTGTACAATTACACAATAAATTGACAGAAATTAAATTTTAAATGATAATACCATACCATAACATGATAACACCATAACATAAAACAATCAATCAATGACTGACAGCATCAAATACATGAAATAAATAAGAGCCCCTTTTTAGTTAACCTGTTGAACCATGCACCAATGCAAGTAAAAGTGTTTTTTTAAAGGAGCCTAAAGAAGGAGATAGTCTTAGATGTAGCATTACAGGGATAGTTCATCCAAAAATGAAAATGTGATGTTTATCTGCTTACCCCCGGGGCATCCAAGATGTAGATGACTTTGTTTCTTCAGTAGAACACATATGATGATTTTTAAGTCCAATCGTTGCAGTCTGTCAGTCGTATAATGCATGGCAATGGTAACAAAATCTATGAGAGTAAAATATAAAAAGTGTTTTTTTAAAGGAGCCTAAAGAAGGAGATAGTCTTAGATGTAGCATTACAGGGATAGTTCATCCAAAAATGAAAATGTGATGTTTATCTGCTTACCCCCGGGGCATCCAAGATGTAGATGACTTTGTTTCTTCAGTAGAACACATATGATGATTTTTAAGTCCAATCGTTGCAGTCTGTCAGTCGTATAATGCATGGCAATGGTAACAAAATCTATGAGAGTAAAATAAAACATGCACAGACAAATCCATATTAAACCCTGCGGCTCGTGACGACACATTGATGTCCTAAGATACGAAACGATCGGTTTGTGCCAGAAACCGAACAGTATTTATATAATTTTTTACCTCTAATACACCACTATGTCCAACTTCCTTGACCGCTCACGGCATCCTGTGCGTGAGGTGTGTACGCGCATATTAATTTAGCTTTGCTTTCATTCAAATTCAGAAAGTTTTGTGACATCCAAGATTTAACTTCATGTAAACACCTTAACAGTGCTTATCTCGTCTCTCCAAAGGTCGGTACACCTGAATGTCATCTGCGTAACAATGAAAAGATGTTCCATGCATATAATTATAGAAATAAGGTTGCATATATAATGAAAACAAGATTGGGCCAAGAATGGACCCTTGCGGAACCCCACTAGACCATAGGGCCGTTTTAGAGTAATGTTGACCAAAATAAAGAAAGTCCCATTAAAAAGGAAGGACTTGAACCATTTAAATGCCATGCCCTGAATTCTCACGGTCTTTTCTAGACAAGAATATCATGAACAATGGTGTCAAACATTGCGCTGAGGTCTAATAAAACTAAAATCACAGAGCACCAAAATGAAAATATAGTTTAAAACTTTCAACAACAAAGCCGTTTCTGTGCCATAATTTGCTTTACACCATGACTGAAAATTTTCCAAAATTGGTCTGCAATTGGTTTAAAGTGACCTTTTCCAATTTTTACTAGATCAGCTGTACAATAGCATGCTTAAAACTTATTGGAACTACTGCTGTTTAAAACTTATATTAATTCAAGTCAGTATACTGGGACCAACATCAAAAGTCTGCTTAACTAATCTTGACGGGATAACATTGCAACCAAAATTTGTAGGTTTCAGCTGGCCAACTACCTCAGCTAAAGGCTGAAGAGAAATTGGTGTGAATTGATCAAACACAGCAGAAGTAGCCGAAGGGTCGTATGAACAGGCACAATATACAACCTGATATCATCAGTTTTCTGTAGGCAGATCAGGACATGTAACAGAGTTGAATTAATAGTGAACAAAACATTAGAATTACAGCTGCGCTTTAAGAATAAATCAGCCGAATATATTATCTTAGCTATCTTAAAGACTTGTCCTTCTTCCACCTGCGCTCTGATTAAGTCCAAGGTATGCCCATCATCATGAGTAGGTCTACATATGTGTTGTATGAGGTTAAAAGAGTCAATCATGCCCAAAAATATTTAGTTCGGAGTTAGATGGACAATAAACACACACATTGAAATCTCCCACAATTAAAAGTTTATCACATTTTAGACTAATTTCACCAGCAAAGCCTTACATAAGCAAAATCCTTATTCCTTATGCATGGAATGTGATATGTGAAATGTAAATAATGCATAATTCATTTTAAAGTGATGATCATGGTAACCACTATGACTCAAGTATTACCAAATTCTTCAGAAGAAATTGCTAATTACGTGGAACAATATTGCAAAGACAATACATGATCACTCCCTAGTAATGACTGAAGTTCCTGTAAGCTTTTTACGTAATCACAGAAGAATTTATTTCAGACACTCGACTGACGTTATGAAGTGAGATTGGAGTAAAAACATGTTATTAAATGTGGTATTTTCACGTGCTTTCAGATGGAGCAGCATTTACTTCACAGAGCCGTAGTTCACTGAGAAGCTATGCAAACAGCTGTCATTATCGCCAACGATTTCTTCGATTTCATAATCGCGCAATAAAATCGTCTGCGTTTTTTTTGCGTTACTTGTCAGTGACCTACGGCTCTGTGTAGTAAATGCTGCTCCGTCTGAAAGCACGTGATGATGATTTCCTACTGATTACAGAACCGGCTTTTTTAACAAAATGCGCATGACAATCGCATTCGATTAATCGTGCAGCCCTAAGTTTTACCCAAAATGTTTTTCAGTTCATCTATATTTCAGGATAGTTTTGATTGCACAGCTCTCTCCAGGTCGTGCAAAGCATTTCAACCGGGTTAAAATCTAGACGCTGACTTGGTAATATTTTGGTAAAGT